CCATTTGTTTTATATATATATATATATATATATATATATATATATATATATATATTTCTTTTTTAAATTTAGTAATATCGCAAAAACTAATTAGCTAACAATAGATAAGTTGAAAATTACTACAACAGTTACAACCATGTTAGCCAGCAATGAACATTTTGTTGAAACGTTTTTACTACCACCGCTGTAACTTTAAGCAAAATGTATGTAGTATTAATTTTAAATAAACTCTTAGTTCAGAAGCGTGCATTAGTTTAGAAGCACGCTAAATCTGGAATTATAATGTTCATTACTTTTGCTTTAAAGTAATCCTCAAAGATTGTCTTGTAACTGAAGCGTGAAACTAGGAGAGACCTCGTAATTATAGGGGTCTGTAATCCGCCGTGACATCGTCGTGAGCAGGTGAAGAAAATTGGTCTGTGTGGGGTGCAAGTTTATCGACGTTTATATGGACAGTAGGGAAATAGTTCCTAATCGTTTGTCATTATGCAAATGCAGATTCTTGAAAAATCAATACATAAAGATATTGTTAGATATAACTAATCATATTAAGTTATATGTCATTAGAAACAATAAAATTTTTCTAATTAATTTTTCCATATTACTCATGAGCTTTTTCTTTTTGCAGCGAACATTTTCCTTATTATAAAAGCAATGACGATCGATGGAAAAATTCTGTACGGCACAATCTTTCTATAAACCCTCATTTTCGAAAGGGATCAAAGGCACCCCATGGGGCTGGTCACCTATGGGCCATCGCGAACCGATCCGTAGACTCTAGACCTAGACAAATCGTCAATTCCTTTACGAAGCAAGTTGCCAAGCTACCTGCAGAACCTGAAAATTCTCGAAGAAGTATTAGGTGACAGGAATTATATACTAGTCAATTATACAATCGGGGTATACATATCGTAATTATTTATTCAAATTCTTCGCAGTCATATAAATCCCATAGATGAAGTAGAAGCAGCGACTGCTAGCATCGCTCAACCAACTTCAGAAGAGGAGACTGAGAATATAGTCAGCTCTGTGACATTGGAACATTGTGCGGAGCAAATACTTAGTGGTATTAAAAAGGAAGTAGAAGTTCAATATTTAATCCCTATGATGATGTCCAGCAACGAACATGATTCGACGCAGACCGCTCAACAGACCCACGAACTCCATTATTCTGTGAAAGAAAGCGGTAAGAATTCTATTCGTCTTTTTAACTCTCGGAAGATGGATAGTTTTCGATGATCGCGGGAAACGAATGCAGGATTATTTTGACACACAATACAATTTGTGTTAGAAACTGGTGTCTTATCGATCGTGGGTCAAAATGACCCTGCATTCGACGTGGATTAATTATCTTAACGTAATTGTACTTCATAGATTTCCTTAATCCTGTGTCGAAAGAGGTAGTGGCAGAAGAGTGTGGGCTTATAAGCGAGGGTTATCTAGTCACGGATTTGAATCCGACAACTTTAGGTTTGAACATGGTCGAGCCAGAAATCATCACACCAGAGAATCTCTTTGGCGAAGAGTTGAACTTCCAATTTTATGAATTATCGTCTCCATCACAGCTTCAGTCCGCTTGACATATGGACAAAAATAAGCTACGTTTAATAGTCATCGACGAGTTGCACGTACAAAATATTCAAAGTTGCGGTCAGATGGAGACTACCGGCGGTCGCGATCTTCATAGTGCCACTAAGGGAAACGAATCATCTCAGGAAGTTATAACTAATGGAAAATCATCCCTGGTCGTGCAAGATTACATTGAGAACTCTGACGTGTGTTCGACGGTGGAGAGTTGACTTCTTTAACAATGATGCTGTCGCAATTGCAAGATTTATACGATAAACCTAAGAAACTGGTCGAAAACGATTGTGAAACAAACTGCTCTGGAGGTGTGAAATAGTTTCACCAGTTGCAACATGCTATTGCCCTAATTGTGCCTGAATATGTGTCTTATCAAGTCATTTAATACTACACATTATAGTATAGTTTCTTCTAGCTCTTACAGAGTAACATGTAACGTTTTTTTGTATTAGCAAAAACAAGAAATATAATATTTACTATGATGTGTAAATAATGTCGTTTTAAGATTTGTCTTCTAAATTCAGTTTCTATTTTCTTTTGAACGTATCTATACAGAAACAATGTGTTTGAAATATTTATGTTTTCGGTTTTGTTTCAAGCGCCGGAGATTCCTCCCTGTTATCCGAAGGTGATTCTGCTTCAGACTTATCCATCGGCATGTTTTTCGCTAACAATTTCTTCTGCCTCTCAAGCTGTCGTTGCTCCTTCATTTCTTTTCTCTTCTTCTTATCTTCTTTTTCATACTTCGCTAGCATTTCGGTTATCTTCTCGGCGGTCACACGACCCGTAGCACGCAATTGTTTTCTGATCTCTTCTAATCTACGTTCTTTCTTTATTCTCGCCTCTTCTGCTTCTGCTTGCTTCTTAGCAACTTTTTCTTTCACATCGGCTATTAAATTTTCCATGTTAACCATTTTAGCTGCAATCGTGTTTTGCCTGCAAATAATGCAATGCCATGTATATTTTATTAGGCTCTATCAAAAGTTCTTTGACAAATTCTATATACCTAGCTATTACAGCTTCCTCCTTTCTCTTGTTTTCCTCCTTAATCTTTTGCCATCTTTCTTGGAGGGTCAATGGATAACTAATTCGTTCATATTCCTTAGCATCCTCCACTTCTTCGGGTGTTGGCCAAACTAATCCAGCAGGAACTCCTAATGCCTCCATGCCATATTTACCTAATATTCTTCTTTTATATTTCACTGTATCATGATACCAGTTCATAGATTCATTATAAGGTTTTTGACCCTTCAGGATATTTCTATGTGCAGGGGTCAGTCTTGATTTATTTCTTTTGCTTTCTATGTCAACTTCTTCGCTCAAAAACACTGGTTCTTCTTCCACAGATTCGAGAATTTCATTTGTCTGTTTTAATGCGAAGTATCTTCTCCCGATGATACTTTTTAATCTTAGCGTTAACTGCAGATTAGCAACTAAGTTCCTTAAAGACATTTTATTTTAGATTCTATAAAACAATATATTATTAATTGAATCAAACATTGTCCGATTATGACACCCACAATGAAATTAAATGTTTAATTTATAATTGTATCATATAAATTGTATAACCAAGAATCTAACATAAGGTTAGATTTATTGTTACCTTTGATTGATGATTTGTTGACGGTTGCTCGTTACCTTTCATTCAATATGTGTATGTATATCTTCCAGAGTGGATTTTTATCAAATAAGATTGTAAGTGAGACCAATTTTCACAATAATTATGTACCTGTTCAAGATTTCAAATGTTTATGATGATCTTTCTTTGATTTGTAGTACAGTACAGTACAGTAATAGCCAATGGGTCTTACTCCTACACACTTCCAGGCCGCAGTTTGATCCGTTATAGAAATTGTTTATAGAAATTTTATTTGCTTTGACTGGCTGACGATTTACTATTAAGACAGGATCCATTGCGGATTGGATGCGCAGTAAAATAGTGGAGATGCGCGCGCCAGCTTAGGGAGTAAGAAAAGCGTGCAGGAGTGTAGGTTCTATTATTGTACCCAAATATGTATTCATATATCAGATGTAGCTACGATTTTTCTACCTCTCTTAGTTTTTGCAAGTATCCCTACCATCCGTAGTCAATCCTGTCTTAGCACTCAATCGCTAGCAAAGCAGACGATCACGTGATCATAATATTGCTATGGACGCTATCGTCTATTGAACATCAAGAAAAGAAAGTAATTGAAAGTAGTGTAAATTAACTACAATATAACAATTAAGGAAACATGGGCAGACTAGCAGAGGTATTGTGCTTCATAGAAAAATTATCGATATAGTGTTTCATGTAATTAAAATTGAATTTCCAGGTAGTTGGAGGACAGTCGTCTGATAAAAACAAAACTTTCGTATTCATGAATGAAGGTTATACTCTAGGAAATGCTTTGGTTACAGTAATCACTCAGAAGTACGAATAGACAATTCTCAAATATCTTAAGCTTTTTTCCCTCTTTTATTTATGTATATTTGTATATAGCCCTGATGTGGAATTCTGTGCTTGTTTTGTCAATCACCCAGCGGAGGGAAATATTTATCTGAGGATACAAGCGAAGAAAGGAAAAGCAATAAACATTTTAAGGAAGGGATTGCAAGATTACGAAAGGATTTGTGACCATACTCTGAAAACTTTTAATGCTGCCTATGATCACTTCAAAAGTTCTAAAGACATGGATACCACCTGATGTTTTATAAGATAGCTAATGTATATAAAATATTTTACCTGTTTTACACTATATAACAATTAAGCAATAAAATAATTTTTCGAAAGACTTAAAATATAGTTAAATTTATTTGAGGTTAGGTAATTACTTTTTTAGAAAGGATAGAAAAAGTAGTCAATCGGCTTTAAGAATTTGTCTTGGGTGAGGTAATCAAGGAGCAAGAGAGATAAACAGTTTGGCAGATTCTTTTTGCATGGAGGTTTATTGTTTAAACAACTTCAGCAGGTCTTTGTCCTCCAACACCTTTATGGTTTTTGAATAGAAATTCAGCGAATTCCTGGTAAGGTGCTTTCTTTAATGCCTGGTTGTGCCAGAGATCTGGTGTGAGGTATGCATAGGTCTTTGCAATAGCTGCGTAAGTAGCCTTGGCAAAATTACCAAGAGTACATGTTGATCCCCTTGCGGACGTGTAACAATCCTCGATGCCAGCCATTTGAAGCAGTTTCTTTGGCACAGGTGCAGAGACAATACCTGTACCTCTGGGTGCAGGGATCAAACGTACTTGAACCGATCCACATTTACCAGTGACTTTGCAAGGTACAGTATGAGGGTCGCCAATTTTGTTACCCCAGTAACCACGACGTACTGGCACAACGGAGAGCTTGGCCAAGATGATAGCACCACGGATGGCAGTAGCTACTTCTTTAGAGCATTTTACGCCTAGACCAATGTGACCCTTGTAGTCACCAATGGCCACAAATGCCTAAAAAGCAATATTGGTATTAGAAAAATATGAATGAAATAATCAGATATATAAGTAAGGACGTTATTAAAAATTGTTACAAATTCACCTTGAAACGGGTGCGTTGACCTGCTCTAGTCTGCTTCTGTACAGGCATGATTTTTAAGACTTCGTCTTTTAAATCAACTCCGAGGAATTTGTCAATGATTTCGTATTCTTTGATTGGCAACGAGAAAAGATAGATATGTTCCAAGGATTCGATTTTTCCATCCCTGACCAGGCGGCCAAGCTTGGTCACTGGAACCCATTCTTTGCTGTCTTCTTTGCCACGTCCACGACCACGACCTCTTCCTCTGCCTCCGCGGCCTCTACCTCTTGAACCACCACGATCACCGCCACCTCCACGAGAGCCAAAGCCTCCACGGAATCCTCCACGCGCGGCTGGAGCAGCGTCCGCCATTCTGCAAGATTTCATAGGTGTTATTCTGACTGTAAGTAATCGTTACTGTTACCACCTAACCCCCAAAAACGTGGTCATGTCGACAATAACATTTATTTCGGTAATCCGATAACAAATCGTTTCTTTAACAATTTCTCCTAAACCTTGTTAACGTTTGCATTCGAAATAATACGTTGAAAATACTGAAATCGAATATTATTACAACAAAGTAAAAGAAATATCTTGGAGCGTACTTACATTATTTCTTTCTTCTAGATGTGGTTGCGGAAGAAAGACTGAGCGATCTTCGAGATATCGAGTATGCAACAGCGTCGACTGTATCGATTAGTCGTAACATAATGTATCTTTAATTATGGCGTTTGTCATATTTCCGGAATTTAAATTTAAAAAATTTTACCGCGAAAATTAATGTGCATGTATTTGTATCATTTGTTTTTTCTATCTCGTGAAGTTGATTACAGTACACGAAATCTGTGATGTTCCATTTCGAGCGAAATTAATTGGTCAAAATGGTTAAGTAAAAACAGTTTGTCAAAATACACTACCGACATAATACACGTTCTACGAGTTTGTATTTTTGAAAATGCGAATCAGGACGCAAGAACGAAAACATGACATCTGTAGAAACTATTTAAAAATGACATTGTCAAAAAGTTATTAACTTCTAATCTTCATGACAGAGATGATAGGATGTCATTGGGGGATCATCAGATCTGATGACCGATTTGAGTCAAACTGCATCTGAGGAGGCTGTTTTATTCCAACGCGGTTACAAGTTTTTGAAAAAGCTGGGCGAAGGTTCCTATGCGAAGGTAAGTTCTAGTTTGTACACGGTGTTCTCTTAACTTTTGCACACATTTTTTGAAGCACTTCTGTTAGATTGATAAAGAATGTTTCCAACGGAAGTTTATCGGTCTCCTGTCGGGTACGTGTTAAATTAAAAAAAATTATTATTCTTTCAATAAAAAATTGTGGTCACCTCAATTTTTTAAAATGGTTTTGAATATTCTTTACTTCATGTTATTGTAGTAATAATCCAAAATAAACAGAAAAGAAAAGAATATGTAATGCCATTTAAAAAAATCAAAGTGATCTCTATATTAAAAAAAAAAATAATTTTCTTAAATTTAATATCTCATTGTGTACCCAAGAGAAAACTGATAAACTTCTGTTCGTAAAATTTTTTTGTTAAATCAATAAGTGCTCGAAAAACTATATGCCAAAGTTAAAGAAACATCCTGTATGACATATAACTTGTACAAGCATCTAATTCATTTGATTTTTCAGTAACTATTTGATTTTTAGGTATATCTATCAGAGTATAAGTCAGATTCAGAACCAGACAAAAACAAGAGACTGGCTTGCAAGGTGATAGACACCAATAAAGCACCGAAAGATTTTGTCAGGAAGTTCCTGCCACGAGAGCTTGATATTCTGGTGAAAGTAAACCATCCCCATGTAGTGCATGTGCACAGTATATTCCAAAGACGAGCCAAATATTTTATGTTTATGCGATACGCTGAGAATGGAGATCTTCTTGAGTTCATACTGAAGAATGGTGCAGTTCAGGAAGGCCAAGCTCGTGTGTGGTTTAGACAACTTTCACTCGGTAGCATTACTATAAAATTGATAAGCAAAGCCGAATATATAGGTGGAGCATAGCGAATTCCGTCTATAAAAATTGTTGGTTCCTTTCAGCTCTCCAATATCTACATGAAATGGAGATAGCTCACCGCGATGTCAAGTGTGAGAATGTTCTTCTCACATCAAATTATAATCTGAAGCTTGCCGATTTTGGTTTCGCACGTTACGTGATCGATGATCGGGGAAAACAGGTCCTCAGTGACACTTATTGCGGTTCTCTATCCTATATTGCCCCAGAAATCCTTCGGGGTTCTCCGTACAGCCCAAAGATGTCTGATATCTGGTCTCTGGGCGTTATTTTGTATATCTTACTGAACAAAGCAATGCCGTTCGATGACACCGATATCAAACGTCTGTATGTGCAACAGAGGAATCGCAAGTGGAAATTCCGTACGAAAGTCGTATCACTGTTGAGCGAGCAGGTGAAGAAGCTGGTCAGCGCTATTCTGGAACCTGATCCGGTGAAACGTTTAAGACTGGATCAGATCATTAGTTGCGAATGGATCGCCATGGATCCTAGACTCTTGACACTCACTCCTGCTGAACAAATTGCATTGACCAGCGCGCAGGAAGAAAGAAAGAAAATGGAAGAAAAGTTCTTCAGGAGAGATCCTGTTAGAGCCTTGATTTAATTAAAGGGAAAACAATAGAGTAAGTTACAAATTTCAATGTTTACTTTGCAGAAAATTTTCAAAGTGGAGGAGAAGACCAAGATAGAAACGCAACAGCCTAGTAAAGGGAAACAAGATGTTACTGTTATAAAGAAAGCTGGAAACGTTTGTATCGCCATTTATCGATTTCAATGTCTTCTGTTGTTGTGTTAACTATGCTTCTGTTTCTTTTTTTCTTTTTTTCTTATTTTTCAGGTGGTATTGTCTTCTATAGCAAGCGGACCTTTCTTAAGTAATGTCTGAGAAATAAAGAAACGTTATTGTTCTACCGTTAGCAATAATTTATTAATACAATGGATAAATATACATATTAATCATGATAAAGATACTGCTTAACATTGAAGTAACAAGGAACAGAATTTTGCAACGAATTAAATTCATTATATACAATGCAATATCATTTTCAGTTCCATATATATTGTGCTTTCATTAAGGATGTATCATTTGGTGTTCCCCATTGTACATAATAATTGAATCCATTGATAAAGGTTTCCACGTTTTCTTTAAGAGGAATGCTAATGATATGTTGGGGACTAGCGAGTCCTTCTAGATTCCAGACACCATTCGATAGTAATAGTAAGAGCTGATTGTTCGATAACCTGCTCACTTGAAACACATCCGTGGCTGACAATCTATATTCTTGTAAATTGTTCCATGGTTGATAATGCAAAAGCAATGTTTGCAACGACAATCGTAGTATGATCCATAGTGATTCTGACAGTGATTCCACAATTGCATCGATTATATTTGGAATGTGTAGAGCTATTGAACATGTAATAGCTTTTCTTAACATTCTGACTATTGCTGATTATTTACAGGACAAGAATTAAACAAACCTTTTAATTGATAAAGTTCTTTCGCAGCATACAAATAGATAGAAACAGAATGTAATTTTATGCAAACTATATATTCGTTCTCCCCTAATACAATTAATTTTGCTGACACCAAACCGCTCGAATTCAATCCGGGACTTTCATTTCTTATATTTTCATTGATACAATATTGAAGAAAGTTATTAAATTTACTTTGCTTTTTATGAATGGTTATATTTTTGTTCACAGTATCAACAACGTTTCTTTCCTCCACCACTTCTAATTTGTCAAGGTAAACTGCACGATCTGCAACGATTGTTGAACGCTTAAAAGGTATAAAGTTAAAAATATTTACTTTACTAACTTTCTAATGCTGCTTTAATTGTTGAAGCTGCTTTAGGATAGTCCTTCATGTCTTCAATAACAGGTAATACGCTTGGATAACTTTTGAAAAAATTGTTCAACTCTATATATCCATAGGAACCATTAACTGTAACGTTCCCAAGAATTTTTAAAGATTTTTGTAATTCGATTCTTGACTTGATGCTTTGCAAACGTTTCTGTTTTCCTAACTGATTGCTTATCAAATCAATCAAGTCAACATCATTTATTAAACCATCGATAACAAATGTTACCGCATCGACTGATCCTCGAATTTCTTTTTGGCCATTGACTATTTGATCTGTAGACTTTGATAATGTTCCTGTCAGAATCTGTCCCATTGCAGTGTCAGATACACTGCAAAATAAATATTGAATCATGTCGAATATTAGAAGTAAATGACGTATTTTGTACGTCGATGTCAATTAATTACTTTATATTATTAGCAGTGATACTATTAAAGATCTTGCGTCCCTTAATGATTACAGATTTCTGTTTCCCTGTAAGAGAATTTTTTGCCCAATCATTAAAATTTAAACCGTTCAAATTTTTTGCTGTCAGAAACATCACATTTGTCTTCCCAGCTACTAGAGCTTTTTCAGAATCGAATCTCATGACATCGGTTTTTAGATTCATATTATTAATTTTATTCTTTGCGTGTAATTTACCTGTGAATTCGTAACAAAAATAAATTGACTGCTTACAAAGAAACATTCGTAACAGATCAGTACCTATGATTTTTAATTTATTGAATGTCCATTTTGCAGTGATTTCTTGGTCTTTACTATGCAACAAAGCATTATCAAACATATCATTAAAATCTGGAACCGAAGATTTTATAATAGAAATGTTTGAACCAATGATACCAGGTGTTTCAACATCACTCAGGGAGGCAACAATTTGTATCTCCTGTGGTTTCGTCTTACTTAAAACACGTTTGGAAATGTTCTTCCATGTTTCAAGATCTAATATATTCGAAATACTCTGAAAGAAATTTTTATTACGTGATGTTATAAAAAAAGAATTAATGGAAACAAAATGCTTACATTTATGGCAATATTTCCGACTATAGACACATTTGTAATGTGTAAATATCTTCCTTGCAAAACTGTAGCATTTTCAGTCATCCATAACTGTCCTAACAATCTTTTTAACTTGGTGTCATTTATACTTTGTATTTCTGGTTCGGTTAAGAATGTTACAGAGTCTTTAACCATAACGTTAAGTAGAACATCATTTTCTGTAAACGAGGCAAAAGAATGTGACAGATTTATTGCGTTTGTTTCTATGCTCCCAGATATTCGTTTCTTATACAGATTAACATGTTCTTTCAACTGTGACTTGTTGAATGGAAGGTAGTTAGTATAGAGATTATTTGCTGCGAATCCATTGCCTACAACGAGAATATTAAATATAGTTTCGTTCAAATAAATAATACATTAATTAAGAAAATAAACAATCGATCACCGAATGTTATATTTCCTAAGGATATCATGTTTTCAAGTTTGATAGCATCTCTTTCAAAATCAATAAAATTAACGTTATTAATGTTTTCTATGTGCATATCTTTCTCTGAAATCATGTCTCCTACTACTTTTGGCAGTTTTATTCGAATCTGAATTGGAGACAGAAGACTATCAACTGCTAAATCTGTTGTCACAATTGGACCTTGAAGAATCTTAGACTTGGTCCATGAATTTGCAAGTATTTCTGCAAAAGAAATATGAACTATTAGATGATGCTGTGTACAATTACAGTTTAATGTCGTTTTACCTGTTATGTTTATATTACTTAGATGAGTTGCAATTAAATTCTTTACAGTGACATTATGGTGGTACGTTTTAGTAGTCAGATTCAAAAGTTTAAAAGTATACATGAAATTTTCATTTAAATATCTTTTACCGAAATTTCCAAAAACGTGCGAACTATTGAGATCTTTTACGTTAAGATTATTAACATTTAAATCTGTTGCTTGAACTTCAGGAACAATTATAGTACTACTACATACAGGTGTCTGAATCCTTGAACATGCAAAAATATTCTTCATGTGTCTAGACTAAGATTAGTAACTGTAATAATTATTAAGAAACCTTACGTCGGTAATTTCGAGTTATTGAAAGATAATGTTATTCCACCATTATGAGGAAAATGTTTTCTTCCTGATACAGTAACTGTATCCTGGGAGTTAATGGTAATCCAATTTTGTGATCCATATAACGTAACATTGTTCCATTTCTAAATAAGAATTTATCCGTGTTAATTAGCTATTCAAACAAGACTTTGACAACAACAAATTTCTTACTATCTTTTCGTTTAAAAGCGCCAGAGTTGCCGGTACTCTACTGTTCAACGGTATTGTATTAGACAAAATTTCTTTAATCGATCGTATCTTGTGGCCAATCAAGTCTTGCGATCTCAAATTCTCGATTTTAGCATTCTCCAGAGTTATAAGGTGATCTACATTCATGGACTCAAAAATTTCTATCAAAGGATTTAAGGTTCTTAGTCCTATTATACGTCCGCGTGGATGGACGGAGCCGTTTACTCTAATTTTTATTGCCTGAATGGTACCAGTCATTATTATCGGAGCTCCTTGCAATGGCAATAAAATTCCGCTTTCCATTAAGTGAAATTCTGTGGTTTCAATTTGTTGCATTTGCAGTTGTTGTTTCGTTATGTTTACGGCAATATCCAATGTTATGAAAGCGTTCATTACGTTTACATTGGAGAAAGTATGTTTTCCTGCAATACAACTTTTTATACAGTCATTCTATTATGTAAAAGATGTCAATTTTTAATTTTACCTGAAAGTTTCTGATCACCAACTACTTTTAAAATATTCTTTTCTAAATCATCCAGCATCTTCCCATTGAACAATTTACCAATTTCAACTTTTTTGATAGGAAAACTAAACTGTGGGCACTTCCAATTCTCAATTTCCATTGTTCTTAAAGCTTTAAAAGCCTGTACTTGATTTTTAATAGATGGTTTTCTCAACTTGGATAGAAGATGAGAATTTTCTTTGACATTCAAATGATTTACTTTACACTTTGCTTTGCACTTAACTCTAAGCTTTCCCATATTTGAGAAAGTAATTGGTGAAGCATCAGAATGTGATTTATTGTTCAAACTAATTTTCTGATTTTCCAATTTATTGGTCAGTTTTTTATATTCTTTCGTTGCATCACTTAATGCTTCAGAATTATGGTCATTTATCTGTAGAAATAGTAGGTATTAATTCATGTAATTGATTGAAATGGTATATTTGAATTGAATCTTACATTATAAATAAGAAGCTGGTCAATGTAACCATTTAAAATTTTAATAGGATTCTTCAGAACTAAATTTTCTGTCAGAATAGTTCTTTGAGTTGCCTTCTTTGCATTATTATTCCATGTCCTGATCTCCTCCTGCAAGTCCTTGTAAGATTTCTGTTTGACCCATTTTGGTTCCTGTATAGACCAACTGCTATTCTTATACTTTACTAATAGTAATTTTTTCTTATGCAGCACAAGTTGTTGAAATTGATCAACTCCGAACAGTTTTATATCTGAATATTTGAATCTCCAGCCATCGTACTGATATGTCAGTATTGCATCTTCGCGCAAAAGTAGAAGCAATATTGCATCGTTTGAAAATATTGATGCAGATCTTCCAAATTGAATTTGTTGAAAGGGAACAAAACGATCATGAACTTCTTTGTATAGAATTGTAGAAGAATCTGTGATAAGGCATAGAAACTGCTCCATATAGTGGGTTTCTTCTAACCGGAGGGAAGAAATGTCTTGGCTCGATGGCAGTCTTTGAGTTACAGCAAATTCACTATGCCTGAAGAAATACTTAAAGATCAAAGTAATAGGCCCGGTTGTAGCAAGATACATAATTCCCTTGTTGTAAAATGGAATTAATTTTTTGGTGCCATAAGGTATGACTTGTACCAAGTCAAAGTAATCATTAACCCAGATATAGATTGAAATGTTCATATCGGAAACAATGCCTAGGTATAATTGATTTATTCCATGCCAGATTGCTAAATCAGTCATGTTACTGGACTTGAAATCATGAATGGGATACAGACGATACTCTTTAGTGAGTCGCAAAACTAGGATCGAGTTCTCCTGATAGTGAACTATCAAAAGAGTTTTATACTCGCAACAGTTTACTATTATTTTTCTACCTCTGGTTATAGGATAAGCAGCCTCAAAATAGAAAACATAATTCTGAAAAAAATTTTTAAAAAGCTATTGAATATACTTGAACACATATACACATATAATACATAATATGCATAATAAAGTTAAATTAATAAATACAACACATACATCTATTCTGTATAAAGATATGTTTAAAGCATCCAAAACCACTGCAAACCAAAGTAATTGGTGATCATTTTGAAGAGAAAAGAAATCAATATCTTTCACATTGTTGAAGTTCAGTTGACCATGATCTTGAAATTCTCGTATTATATTGATACCTAAAAAGTGTGTTACGAATGCAAAATAATTAAAAAATTAGAATAATCGATTGTACGGTTCGATTGGTTCGATATGATCTGACAGAAAGTCAGATTGCACGCGGACATGGCGATATGTATGCTGTAAATATGATCGACCTTAAGGTTGATGATAACTATCAGCTGCTGTCTTAATAACCTTAACGGTAACCGTGATTTTCGAGTGTGTAGAACCGCGAATATGACCACATACGAGGAGATACGGGACAATTTGACAGCTCAGATTTACGAACTGGAAGCTCTGCAATCTGTTTACCCGAAAGAATTGCTTATTACAGATAATGGAATACTTGCTGACATTAATGAATTTATTAAAAATCCAACAGAAGAACTTCCTCAACAGTTAGAGTACTCGATCGACCTTTCAATGAATGGTGTAAGTCTCGATTTTATTGCAGTCTATTGTCTCTACTGTAATATTCATTTAAAACTCCTGTGTCTTCTGCAGGGACATATTGAATTGTTAGTTAGTCTATCTATTAATTATCCCAGAGAGAAGCCAGCAGTATACGCAAGGAGTTCGCGGTTACATAGAACTCAGCAACTTCTTCTTAATCGAGCTCTAAGCCACATCATAGAACGTCAAGAAGAGAATGAACCTTGCATCTACACATTGATATCGTGGTTACAAGACAATGGAGAAGATTATATCGCTGCTTCCAACACAAGTCAGGGGAAGGAATCAATCGGAAGATGCAGAAAGGAAGAGCAAAAATCTACAACTTTTGCCCGATATTGGATATACAGTCATCATATATATAGCAAATTTAAAAGAAAGGAGGTAGTTAATATAGCGAAAGAAAATTGTCTTACAGGTTTCTCTATGGCTGGAAAGCCAGGTGTTATTTGCGTGGAAGGAGCCCACGAAGATTGCGAATATTATTGGCAAAAAGTATGTGATATGCCATATATGTAATTTTTTTAATCTAATTTGAACATTGTTTAAATCAATAATTTATATAGTTGAATTATTTAAATAATTTCAATAATTTTAGGTAAAGTCTATGAACTGGCATAGAATAGTGATACGATTATTGGAGAAGCATGAAGATTGTCCAAATATAGACAGCATGCGTCAATTTAACGATATTCAAGAAATAGCTTTTCCTACTTCTGAACGTCATAATGATTTAGGACAACTATTAAAATATTTAACAGATCTTAACTTACAACACGCGTTTAAAGAACTATTCGGGCTTGAAGGAAAATTTAGCGAGATATCGGATTCGTGAATTTATAAAAGATATATTGTTCAGAAATTATATTTATTTTTAATACTGTTTCTAATAAATACATACCCCTGTTGAATATTTCTCTCTTGTATCGACCGAATTTCATTTTCGTCTTATTCATGATATGTTCGCTGATTTTCTTATCAATTTCAGCTATTGCGTTAGCATTTAAATCTTTCATTACTAAAAATAATATTATAATGCATATTATTTTTAAAAAATAGAATACTTAAGAGTATACTTGATAAAAATCTACATACCATAATCTGATCGTAATTTTTCAGAACGTTTTGTTGTTTGATCAAGTGCGATATTTAAAGCATAACTTCTTCCCTGATGTACCCTACATGTTATTAAATTAATTAATAGAAAAATTAATAGAACTCTTACTATCATGTTTGCACAAAGGCACTTGGATTGCTTGTATCACAGATATATCAGAGATGAAAGAGAAGAGTTGCTATATGATGTGTTTATATTTTTTTTCCTTACAACTCATAACAGAAACTCTCTAAATTCGAATGCAAACCATCATATATACAAACTTTACACTTGAAAATGGCAGTTGTATTTAATTTGACCTATGAATATTTAATCATCAAGGAATGAAACAGAAACATGGATTTTCATATAAAGAATTTATTTAATTTATTTAATGCTAAGAAAACATCGATTATATTAGATTGTAAATTTTATCTAACTGTTGCATAACGCAAAAATTCATTGGTGAGGAACTGTCCTGGGATATAAGGAGCCGGCGGTCCAAGAATATCCTGTGTTGGAGTATGAACTTTGATTTGCCTCATGTGTGTATCACGACCATTTTGATGATTACTTATCACAGCTATCTGTATCATAAATGTCCTGATAGGTCTATTATTTATATCTTTTATTAGGATCACAACCCAACCACTAGGTTCGTTTAGGTCCATGACTTCTACTTCTTGAAGATCATTGAAATTTGTGCCTGCTCTAATACTTATCCTAGAAAGAGCAGTTTATTATATTAACACGGAGGGCTTTTAGCTGTAGACTCATTAATTTTAATAATATTGTTACCTGCTGGGAGTATAACTTTCATCCAACTTATAATCGGTATAGATACATATATCTCTTATTGTTGTTTTTCTCTTGAATTGGATATTCACCAAGTGTGGAAGTTGACCATCGGATTGCCAATATGTTTCTGTAACATCATCTCGGAGTTGATCCACGCCAAAACCAGGTTTACAGCTGGATAAACTCCAAATTGCACGATTTCCAACTTCTCGTACACGACCAGCCAACTTTTTCTGCACAGGATCTATTTCCCCTAAATCAATAGAATATACTGTACTTAATCAAAGTAAAAACGCTCCAAGAAAAATAATTAAGCGATTTGTTACCTGCGTTATTAGTCTTATTGGTCATGGTAGAGGTTTTCTAAATAATTTAAAGCAATGTCATCAAATTTAAATACGTTTTTATTCAGACCATATTAGATTAACGTTAGACCATAAGAGATAAGCTTATTCGAAATTAAGTAAGTTTTGCCACAAAATCAATCGAGAATTGTTTATCCAGAAGTTTCGAATCAAATCTGTCAAAACTGTTGTGATACATTTATTGTGTATAGAATTGTAGTACAGGTGAACATGTATACGATACGATACCTAAACAGAGGGTAGTAGTGCCACCTGTGATGAAACTTCCAAGCTTATTGTCAATCAGTTCTACTATCTGCTAGATGGCGCAAGCGGTATCATCCTGGGGGGATTTGTATCACCGCAGACGTAACTCTAACTAACTAACGTTTCCACGCGCGTGTATAACCTCGACAGTAGTGACTGCCACCACGTGTTCATCCGGTTACAGATGCTAGAGAAATCACGAAAGAGAGATTTACACATAGAACATCGCAGCCGCTAAACCATCGTCAACTACGAAGTCACTGGAAATGTCCCTAGGACTATCGGCATCCCTACGAGGCGCTAAAGCTGGGTCTCGGTCCACAGAACACTAGCGTGGAGTACGCACACCAAATAAAGAGACTCCGGAACCACACCAGTTATTTCCTCCATATTGTCGCACGTAGGAAAATACCTACGTCTGCAATAGTTCTGCCACTTCAAGTGGAAAACCAAATGATAATTTTCTACTCTGTAAGATTTTTTTTGTAACAAGTAACACATACGGTTTTTAGGAAACTTTCATTTTGCATTAAAATGCCTGCTTTTTCGGTCATTATTTATGAAATTGTTGTATTTTGATAAATTGTTATTGGTATCTAATGAGCATACTGTTTAAGCACGTATTTCAATCATTTATGTCTGCAATAAATCCCACACGAAAAATTCATATCGTCATTGCAAGGAATAAGTACCTTCTACATGTAATCCGCATCCTGTTACAGTATTTTTCTACAATATGAGTCGTTTTTTCGCAACTGGTTATGATTCTGATACTGATACTGTATCGGAAGAGGAGCAAGTACCTAGGGGACCAACTGCAGCTTTCACAGTAAGTGCAAATCGCTTTCCAAGTTGAGGTTTTAATTCAATTTTTAAGTACTTATTGCTTGTGTTTATTCGTCGTACAGTTCAGCGATGAAGAAGAAGAGACAAAACGGGTCGTTCGTTCGACAAAGGAGAAGAGATACGAAGAGATTGCAAATCTCATCAAACTCATACGAAACTATAAAAAGATTAAAGACATGAGCAGTATGCTGTCCAGTAAGTGTTTAAGACAATTAACATGTACGATTGAATAAACTTAGCCGAAGAATATATTTTTATGCAATTATAGGTTTCGAGGATCTAATGCGTGCCTATCAAAAGGCATTACCTGTAATTACGAAAGAGGAAGCTGGCCAAACACCGCGATTTTATGTCAGATGTTTGGTGGAAATGGAAGATTTCATTAATGAAATATGGGAGGATCGTGAAGGGCGTAAAAATATGTCAAAAAACAATTCGAAGTCTTTAACTTCTTTGCGTCAGAAACTTCGTAAATATAACAAAGACTTTGAAGATGACATAGCCAAGTTCAGAGAGAATCCGGATCAAGACGACGACGAGGAGGAGGATAAACGTAAATATGTAGAATTTTGAATTATATATATATATATATATATATATATATATATATATATATATATATATATATATATGTTCGAAAGAGAAATTAATCGATAGCTAACGTTTTAGCCGAAGAAGTTGTAGAATCTGAGGAAGAGGATGACAGTGCTGTAGCTTTCAAGAAAGCTGCTTCCGAAGCAAGCGAACCAGACATATCCAAATTCAAAGTTAGTGATACGATAGCTAATATTAGAAGACATTCGAAGTATTTGTTGGAAAGATTTATAATAGTTCACGAATTACATGGTTTTCTAGAAAAGTGCGGCTGATGGTGATGATGGTAGCGAAAGTGAATCTGATTGGGGCAGCTCCTCGGATAGTGAAAGCACGAGTAGCGAAGACGAGGGCCAATATCAAAATATTCGCGAGCGATTCATTAAAAAGTATCTCTAAGCACGATCATTAGCAATTAATATATTTGATGGAATCGATACAAGTTCCTGTTTGTTTCAAGTAGAGCGGCTGATAAAGAGGAGGAAGAAGACAAGGCGAAGCGGAAAGAGCAGCGAAAGGAGCGTAAAGACAAGGAAAGAAAAAAGAGGAAGGACGAGGATGACGGCGAAGGTGAATGGGAGACCGTGAAGGGCGGTGTGGCCATCCCATCCGAGAAGCCGAAAATGTTCGCCAAAGATGCTGAGATCAACGTGGCTGCTGTTTTGAAGAAGCTGTCCGAAATTATTGCCGCTCGTGGTAAAAAACGAACAGACAGACGGGAACAGATAGAGCTGTTGCACGAGTTGCAATCGATAGCTGATGCTCATAATCTTGGGCCAGCTGTGGCGGTGAAGATCAAGTTCTCTATAGTATCCTCTATCTTCGATTACAATCCGAAGGTATCGGACGCGATGAAGCCTGAGCACTGGACCAAGATCCTGGAACGTATAACAGAGATGCTGGACATGCTGCTGAGTACCAAAGACATGGTGATCGCCGAGAACGTATCTGAGGATGCGGAAGAGTTTGAGACCGCTCCGTATAAAATACATGGATGCGTGTTGACATTGGTAGAACGTTTAGACGAAGAGTTCACGAAATTGTTAAAGGAGTGCGATCCGCACAGTAACGAGTACGTAGAACGATTGAAAGATGAGAAACAAGTGTCGACAATAATTGATAAGGTTCAAGAATACTTGGAAAGACAAAGAACCGTGTCCGAACTCTGTCGCGTATATCTACGTAAAATCGAGCATTTGTATTACAAGTTTGATCCGAGTGTTCTTAAACAGAAAGAGGTGAGCACATTGCTATTGGAAATGCAAATGTGTGTAGAAAGTACTTAATTATTGATGCCTTGTTTCAGGGAGAACTCGGTTCAGACGTTACAACGTCCGTCCAAGTAATGGAGAAGCTTTGTAAATATGTTTATGCTCGTGATGGAACGGACAGGCTCAGGACTCGTGCGATCCTTTCTCATATTTATCATCACGCTCTTCACGATAACTGGTTTCAAGCGCGCGACCTAATTTTAATGTCTCATTTACAAGAAACCATTCAGCATTCCGATCCAGCTACACAGGTCTGTGTTCTCTATAATTATATAATTCGTCGGGTATAATCTCTATACTCCTGGATATAGCTAAATTGTCGTTCGTTTGTAGATTTTGTACAACAGAACTATAGCTCATCTGGGCTTGTGCGCGTTCCGTCACGCGAATATTAAAGACGCACACAATTGTCTGGTCGATTTGATGGTAACAGGAAAGGTGAAGGAACTTCTGGCGCAAGGTCTTCTTCCTCAAAGACAGCACGAACGTAGCAAGGAGCAAGAGAAGATCGAGAAACAGAGGCAAATGCCGTTCCATATGCACATCAATTTAGAACTTTTGGAATGCGTTTATTTGGTCTCTGCAATGCTCATTGAAATCCCATACATGGCTGCTCATGAGTTCGATGCGAGAAGGAGAATGATTTCGAAGACTTTCTATCAACAGTTGAGATCCAGCGAACGTCAGTCGTTGGTCGGTCCTCCGGAATCGATGAGGGAGCACGTTGTGGCCGCGGCGAAAGCGATGCGCAACGGAAACTGGTCGGCATGCAATAATTTCATAATCAACGAGAAGATGAACGCTAAAGTTTGGAATCTTTTCTATCAAGCGGATAAAGTTCGAGACATGCTTACAAGATTGATCAAAGAAGAGGCTTTGAGGACGTATTTATTCACCTATTCGCACGTCTATGATTCTATCTCTATGCCAAAACTGGCGGAGATGTTCCAATTGAAGCGACCCGTTGTTCATTCTATTATCAGTAAAATGATCATCAACGAGGAGCTTATGGCGTCACTGGATGACCCCACAGAAACCGTTGTTATGCATCGCAGCGAGCCAAGTCGTCTTCAATCTCTAGCGTTGCAGCTCACCGACAAAGTGAACAATTTTGTCGACTCCAACGAACGTATTTTTGAAATGAAACAAGGTGATCGATTGCGTTTTTAAATAGCTAAACATTCGGAATTGTTCACAGGTAATAACGCAATGTCTTTTATTGCAGGGAATTTTTTTTCAAGAGGAAATCAAGGAAATTTCCGCGATAGACAAAATTATAACCGACAAGGGCAAGATTGGGGTCGCCAGAGACGAGATCGCGACAGGGATCGTAATCGCGAAGAGAATCGAAATTATTAAATTTAAAACATTGAATATTATTTACTTGGGTATTCGATGTATCGTAATTATACCGTGTACACGCTCATGTAAATAATGTTGAAAATAACAGCATATATAAACTACAGTACATTATTTTATTATCTACACAATATTTACAACTACATAAAACAATCCATTTACAGTACAAGAATAAAAAATATCAATTATACAAAGTGTCTCAACTAGCTTGACCATTTCAATCTAAGAGATTCTGTATATACGCGCGCGCGCGCGCGCGCGCGTGTGTGTGTGTGTGGAGAGAGAGAGAGAGAGAGAGAGAGAGAAACTCTTTTTCCTTTTATTGTTGGTTAAGTGTTATTCTCATATCTCTTGTACCTTTTCGAGGATGTTATTGCCCGTTATAATGCTATCGGATGTAAGAACAAGTCGGATTCCTGAGGATTTTTCTATGTGTCTGCAAGCAGCAATTTCGGCGTATGTAATACCACCTATGACGCAAATTATCACTGTTTTCGGGTGTAATGTACTATATTGTCCGCTTACAACGCAATCCGGTAAACTAGATAATTCATCAAGATTCCGACGATCGCTTTCCTGATTTACAACAACGTTCAATGCTTGGGCCTGTGGAAACAATTTGGAACTGTTAGATTTAGCAAAATATTAACTGAACAATTGCATGAATTACTATACTAACAATCACGGGGATATAAGTGTTATTGAACACGTAACTAGGACATGTACGTCCTTTCTTTTCTATTTGCTTAAAATAACTTGGCAAAAGCTTCATCCTCTGAGCACCATTGTTCCATTCGCTGGTCCAATTTGGTAATTTATGCAGGAGATTCTCCGGTCTGCATCTGAGTAAACCCACGCTTTGCAATTTATAAAATAACGGAATGTGCTTGTAACCGTGAGCGTGAAGATGCAGCTTTTGGACGGATAATAGCTCGTTTTGCGTGACACCGTCGCTCGCGATAGATAACAAACAGAGCAAACGTAAAGTTCTTAGCGGATGATCATCTAAAAAAACAATTAATCGTTTTAAAAACAATAATTTCAATCTATTCAATAGACTGCATACCGATATATCTTTCAATGTAACTTAAACATTCTTTTCTATCTTTGCATTCGATTATGGACTTTTCTGTTCTTTGAATAGTCTGAAAGTCTGATCCTAGTGTGTCCGCAATAAGTTGGCAGGCAGAAATGTGGAAAGCTAATTGCCGTGTCATGTCCTTAGTCTTCTGTAATCTTATTGCTACATATCGCTCCATTTCAGACAGCTTCATTGTTTTTATGGCGTCTTGTTCAGCTAATAGAAAACATCCTATGTTACTAATAGAATTAACAAGTCATTCATGCACAAAAAGGTCTATATACATTTTAGAGATTTAGCTTTTCCATGTAAGATGGGGAAAACATCGCTGCATAGTTTGTCCCTTACTTCTCCGTAAATCTGGTCTTTGCTCGGATCCAATTTTGTTTGAGAATTGCCCAAGATTCCTACGCCGGCGTTTATTTTGACGACCTCGCACAATAAGCCTGCGTATGTTACTGGTGTTAGAAGCGGCGTGACTAAATCGTAATTTCTGTCCATCAAAATCAAAGCTCCAACTTCATTCTCTGCGTTCGACGAACCTAAACATTGTTTCATAGAATCTATAATCGTTAGCATTTGTTCGCTGTGTTTGCCAAACGAAAGCGTGAGTTTGGGAGAACCAAGTATGAGCAGTAGAGACCATAGGCTACGTGCCAATGCCGGTAGCAAAGTGGTATCTTCGTGATAATAAAGATCAGCAAACATAGGAGTTTCTAATGATAGAACATTGCCATCTAATCTTATGAATTCCCAGGACAACGATTGTACGGTCACTAGTTCGGATAATCCTGAACAAACGACATTCTGATTATGATAAAATTTGTTATCGTCTCATCTGGAAATGATAAGCAACTGGTTACCCTCTTCTTCGATAATTGAGTGAAGTACTGCTGGCACAAATGGAGTGACCAGAATATGATGACACGGTTGTATATGCTGCTTAACGTTTGGTAAAATTTCTGACTGAATTTGATCCAATACTTTTTTACAAGAGATTAAATCGCTCGAGACCAAGAAGACGTGTTGAGAGTTTGAAAGCTTAAAACCATCTAGTTGTTCCATTTTATATATTTTATCCACTCCGTAGCATCTGTATGAAATATAATGTTATAGAATGTGTCTTTTAAATGAAAGCTTAAGTGGCAATGAGGAAGAATTACTTGAATACAGAAACTCCAACAAAATTGTCCAAAGTTTTCATGAGTTTCTGTTCTATCACTAAATCTTTCATTCCAGGAATCGCATCCAACATCTCGATAAGCCTTTGTTGACTGATTTGTTGCAGTACGTTCAATCTATCGTCCAGCGTGATATTCATGTTCCTAGTACTACGAACTCCTAGCGATAATGCTGCTTAAAGGTCGATATGTCACTTCGACTATTCCGAGTTCAAACATAAGGTTTCGTTTAAATTCTCAAGAGAATTTTCCTGTTGACCGGCCGCGTAGTGAATGAACGACAGCCAAAGTTCTTTAACCCTTCGGGGTTAGAAGGATTTTGTATTTTTTATTGACCAACATGAATTCGACACAAAGCTAAATACTGTGTATGTAATTCTTATGTCTCGTTCCTTCGAATGCAGTGAATGTTCTTCGATAATTCTTCCGTAGTTCGCGAAACAATCAGAAATTCTGATGTAAATTGTACAATTGTACGGTCGCTAATAGGAAGGTGTGAAAACAATTCGACTGATGCGCTCATGTGGCAAACCTCGGCGAATTGTACAACAGTATAAATTGTATTCTCCCGATCTCCTGGACGCTCTTCCTCCTCCTCACTCTCACCTCACGCTGTATCCTGTATCTTTCAGTAGGGTTATTTAAAAATGGCGGACGCATCGTCTTCCGACACTACCTCAGATTGTTGCAATGAATGGTTCTCTGATATTACCTCGGAAAGATCGGAATACGTTATAGTGGGTCAGAAACCGTGTCTTTCCCATCGTCGCAGTAAAAGACATTTCTTACAGAAGCTATTTTTAAGAGAGGTACGATCGCTTAACCTTCAACTCGCGAGAGTATTCATAAAACTGACAGAGACACGCGCAACGCTTTCTATGTATATCTGTCAAAACGCGTTTTCGATCGAAACAACGAAAAAAAAAGACACAAGTACCGTATCATGATTATCTTCGAGAGAAAATTATTTCATTGTTTCTCGATGAACGCTCGCATGCTCATTAACGGATCGTTCGCGACGATCAAGTATCTAATGGCTGCAAGAAAAAATATGCTTTTGTTCTTGCCCATTTAGTTCTCTGTTTTTCCTTTGTTCCATTATAATTTCAAAACTATTGTTATGAACACAAAAGAAATTTCAAATAATTCTCTGTTTAGTATATTTTAATTATTTTTCTGGTTTATTTTCTATGTGATTATTGTATAATTATTTAAATATTCCTGCATGCTATTATAGATCAGAGGTTGTCTATCGGCGCACAATTATGCATCTGAGGAAAGACTGTTCGCTACGGTACCTTCATGGAGACACTTGCCGCTTTTACACGTAATCCCTAAATCTGCATTAGAAGCAGGGTACGTTTGCAACATCTATTCTTAACCTGTTAAATATTTGTTTAACAATAGCTCTTACATTTTAAGGCACATTGTAATGGGACTGACGCAATGTGGTCAGTTTTTACTTACATACACGTACACAATGGACATGAGTAGCAATGCTTCTTTATACAAATACTTGCTACACTGGTGGGCCTTCACACCGAATCATGTTGCACGTAAAGTTGCAGAGGTTACGCTTTTTGGTAATTACACTATCTATAGAGAACTTAGCATTGTCATATCTCAGTGGCCAATGGAACGGAATAAGCTAGTGATACATGGCCTTTGGTAAGCATTTCAATTTGCTAAGAATCTATAAAATTATTTAGTAATCAACAATCATCAATTTTTAGTACAAACTGGTTGCACTCACAGCCAACTGATAGAGCATACTTGACAATAACCACAGTACCGTCTCTGGAGAATTGTAAGGATTGTTTAAAAGTTGCTGCATCTTATGAAGAGGAAGGCGAAGGTAACGCGATACATTAACTTAACGATAGTGAGAGCACTACATTAAAGGCAAAGTGCATTCCCACGGAAAAGCAGAAATATATGATTTACGTATCCACAGAGTTGGCTGCAAACTGGGATGGTTGCGTGCGATGTAACTGTCTTCAACATGGACTCACAGTTCACACCATCTATGAAGTAATTTCCCCATATCCCAGGTTCCGAGCTACCGTCTGCTTGAACTATTGGAATCATGTGGTAGTTAACACAGGAAACTTTTTACATGTACTCAGGGTGGATTTGGACATTCCAAAGTCAAAGAATCAGAAGACTTGTGATAAACAGGACACTGTGATATCAGACACGGTGCCATTGGACATGAGTGACGTGGAGGAATTGGATTACACAAAGGTGGAACGTTATGAGAGCTCCGATGAGAAAGTAGGTACGCCGGAGTGCGTGATCGATCAGTCCCCCAGGTGCGAATCGAGTATAGAACAGGACTTTCCGGAGGAACCAATTAAACTAGATATCGATAAGTTAGCTCAGGACCCATCGAATACCTCGAACAGTAATCAAAGCGATTGTGTCTGTGATAGAAGTAAGTCTGTCTCTGATAGTGTTAAGTCGTGCGAGTGCGCGGATTCCAACGACTGTAAATGCCTGAACGTGAGGTCACAGCAAGCGATATCGGTCAGGGACAAGATCCTGCAAGACTTCTGCGAGGACATGTCTCAGGAATTAAATATCGGTAGTGATCTGATTACCTTAGTGAAACACCCCTCGTGTTCCCCTCGATCGACCCCGCAGAGACTCCCCTCTGATCTCAAGATGACCAGCTGCTGGTCCTCGCCGATTCTCACACCGCCATCCGATATACTTAAGACCCGCAATTCGGAATCTAGTCATAAAAGCAGCCGCAATCAACGCTCAAACTCCCCTCAGCCGGGTGCCTCGGAGGAGGGTAATAACGTGGCTTCCGTGAATTCTCCACTGCACTCCATAAATCCTTCTTGTTCTTCACGATTGATGTCCCCGCCGGTGTCGAGGTCGTTTCGCCAACCTAGTCCACGCAAGCGATCCAATTTGCATTCTCCACCTCCAATTGTAAATTCGTCGCAGCCCAGAACGACGAGAGCAACGCACAAACTGATCCTCGAAGCGGAGAAGGCCTACGAGTTCACGGACGAGGCACAGGAGACCTGCGAGAAACTCAGTTCATTCCGGAAACGAAGACTCGCTGACAAGAAGTATGAGTTCTGCGACGAGGCTGAGGACGCCGAGAATATAGTTCCTTTCAAGCATATCAGAGATCAGTTTAGACACCGTGGTTGCGCCATACACCAGATACCTTCGTCGCCGACCATGTCTCCTGTACTGCCAAACGGCAAGAAACATTGGGTGGACTCTGATCAGAGTGAGCCAGATGATTTTAGTATTAACCAAGACGTTGGAGCGTCGAACGACGTGACCGGTGATTCAGGTGAACTGCAAAAATCACGATAATCCATTTCACAGGACGAGAACCTTTGCTCTCTTTGACTCATGTACTACTTTCAATTTTTGTTCTGATAGCCGAGAAGAATGTTTTACGTCCGCTGAACCAAAATCAGCTACCCAACGGAGGTTTAAGCAGGGACCGCTTGGCCAAACATTCTATGAACTCTTCTCCGCTAGTTCCAAAAATTAATTTACAGTATCCCATCATAAAGTGCACTGCCCACTTTAAGAGGAGTTACATAGAAATGGACGACGAAATGATATCAGTTATCACCGACGTTGAAGGTACATTCTACAATTCGGACTAAATACTGTACTTTGAAGAAAATTATATTGAACACGTTTGTTTTACAGATGAAGAGACTGGAGGGTACGTGAGCTATCAGTGTGTGCTTCCTATGCTTGTCCATGGATCTGGATATGTACAAATGCAAATGATCAGCAACAGTAAAGCTGAAAAAATGGTACTATATTTACTGCCGAATAAGTTTCTATGATATAATGACTCTGATCATTTCTAATAGAAGCAACACTGTACTTTCAGATAGTACCTTGCGTGTCGATAAGTCAGCTAAGTTTTGATATTGAAACATTTTCTCATCACATCGCCGATTGGATTTGCATGAGATTTAAGAAGCGATATTGGCACTGCAGCGATTACGATATTGAGATCATAGATATATGCGCGTTGAGCGGCGACATAATTTGTTTATTGATCATGAAAATCCAAGCCAGCGAAATTAACAATCAAACACAATGGTCAGTATGAATATTTGAATATTTAGGAATCTCCTGCTTTAGAGTCTTTTATTTCGGAACGTTGAATGTGTATATAGTTCTCAAGAAAGAAAACAGTACGAAGTAGGATGTAAATTCACATGGAACATCGACACGAGCCAGTACAGAATAACAGACATATTACCGATGGAAGAAGTGAAACCGGAATCCTGTAAACCGAATTGCGTAAACGTTCCAAATTTTCGGAGTCCCTTGTGGAACCCAACTCGACGTCTGGCACCAAAGTTGAGAGAGAAGATACAGCAACCGTATGCGCACACAGTACGGTTCTTGCATAATGAAATGACTCTTGCCGGTACGTATTTTGGAGAACAATGATCCTTTCCATTAGTCTCAGTTTCTGAGTAAATTTCATTTTATAGAAAAAGTCAAATTGTCAACTTTAAACATTTTTTCTCTAGATTTGTTGGATAATATATGTAATTATATAGATGATATTGTTAACAAGAGCAGCATCAAAAGTATACAAAATGTTTTATAGGTGAATCTATAACTAGACTGTATGATTTGGACAATTTGGTGGAGTTCTTCATAACACCGATGCCAAACGATCCTTCGATCGAATAAGGTCACTGTCAGTTCAAAAGTATGTTGCAAACAATAATTTATTTATTAATACAAATCTAAGAGTTTCATCATTAATAAGGTAACGTGTACAATGTAATGAATGTCTTGAGACCGTAACTACTATATATATATACATATATATACATATATATATATATATACATATATGTATATATATATACCATATACTATATAGTATGTATATGTATATAATATATAATAACTATTTCAAACATTGTTAGTTCCAAGCGTGGATAACAGCAGATACGACACGTTGTATAGATCCAGTGGTCTACCTTTTTTCACAAGACTACTGAATAAGTTGATTGTTAAGTGCTGCCGTATATAGATTGTCCAAAAAACTTAATAATATAGAGTAAGAGTACTGATTAATGATACAACGAACATTGTAAGCGTTTGCTTGAATTTGTAAATTGTATTCTAGCATTATATATTGACTATCTATGATATATAGATAACTTTGATATCTATTATCAGATACAGGTGACTAAAAACTGATTGTCAATAAATGTGTTGTATGTGGTTCAAAAGTAAGGGGGAGAGAGAACTAACGAGAAAAATCGTGTAGTACTTGGTCCCAAACTTAATTGGTGATCTAAGATCATAGTCGAGTCTATGCCGAAATTTGCACTAGCTAATACTTATAGAATTAATCATATTAATTTAATTTTTGTCATGTTTCACGAACTTATTGTATCATAAAGCCATTTTACCATAAACTTTTTTATATATCGAAACTATGAATACATTATACAAATGTGCAATCTAACGGGCGCACTTGTAATTTATGTAAGTACTAATCGAACTTTCAACAAAGAACACTCGAGAATTTGAAAGACAAAGTTATTTAATTGCTGAAGCGATGACATTAAAGCTGGTGAAGTCAGTTTCTTAATTGCAATAAACGTATCATCGGTAATAGCATATGCTTTGGATGTTTTTGTCTTTACCTCACATAAATGCACGAGATGTTTTAAAATGTGTGTACGTGTGTATCCATATAGCAAAATAGAATTTTGTTGCGGTTCAAACGGGAATTTTAATAGGTGGACCTACGGTTACGTCGGATCCAACTCCGTCTAACTTTAAGCCGGTCAGAATTTCTTCCCATGCGTTCATGCATTGCTGATAATGACGAATTTGTCGATCTGCCATAGAAATCAACATATTCTTTAGATCCATCTGTTTCTCCACGTTCCATCTTTGCAAATCGCTACGCAAATTTTCATTAGCACATTCCACACGATCCTGCAGTACTTCTCCTTGTTTTGCTAATCGAGGAATCGCCTGTCCGAGTCTCTCTAATTTTTCATCACGAGATTCTGCCTTCCACAACGATCCACCCCAATTTTGTGTCGAGATTGTGCCACTCGAAAGCCCAATTAACTATTTAAATGATTGTCATTATAAACCACCATAATATATGTATACTAAATTTTAGTATTTCATATACCTACCTGATCTTTCTCGGATCTTTTCTTCGTCAAATCGTCTATAGTGATTTCGTATTCGATTTGCATTGAATCCCGCCGAGATAAAGCACTCTTTACTGCATCTATATACGAGATATATTCTCGCTCCTCATGCGGAACATTTTCTAGCAGTTTTTGATGAGCTTCTGCATTGCATTCTATACCTTTGGCAATCGCTAATAAAATAGGAGCAAGTTCTGGTTCAGAAGTTGCCCATAATGTGAATATCGGATGCAATTGATGTAGCTCTAGCAAATAGTCTGGTATAACATGAAAGCATAGTATGTTAATATACAATTCAATCGATATCGTATAATCAAGGTATTTCTTATAATACCTTGTCTCTCTTTGTGTATCCGATGATTTATTTTATCTATGGTTACTAATTTCTCGCAAAGGGCTGTACAATAGTCTCGGACTTGTTCAAATTCAAAATGACGTTGTTTCATAGTGTACGTGCTTGCTATATTTTGCAAGGAGTCGGTCATTTTGATGAGAACATTTGCACGACTTTTACGGTGTACAAGAAATTCCTAAAACAAATGGAAAGCTGTACAATTTGAAAATATTCGAAGCAAGATCGTAAGAAATGGTATACTTACCGCGGGTTTGGTGGTTAAAAAAATATACAAATTTCTATCGCAACTAAGAATAGGATGATTAACCACTCTGTTAAGAAATATATGCAATAATTTCATACGAGCTATAATAAATTCTTTGGAGTAACGATCTAACTGTGCGAGTAACGTATGTTTCCCAGGCATTGGCTGCAATAATAAAGTAAAAATTAACTCTTTTAAAACAAAATTTTAGAATTTTACTAATACAAAGTATTAGAATTTTCAGAAGTACATAATCACTCACTGGAATGATGTGTGTTGGATAAGAGTCCACCAACTTTTGTCTCAACCAAATGAAATCATTGTATCTTCTTTGAACAACATATTCGAAACCTCCCTCGGCGAATTCTGGTCTTGTGGACTGAAAAAAATATATAATAAAATCTATCGAGAATAATTTTAGACTTAGCTTACCTTTGTTGTTATGCGAAAGGTAATGTAGGTTTCAAGCGTTTCAAGATGCTTTTGTGGATTGTCGACTTTAACCTGCAGATCTCTGGAATCTGTTTGAAAATCTGATACCTCTTGCTCCGGCAAAGTAGAAAAGCTGTCAAGGGAAGGCGATGCTACCTGAAAGTTAATTGGTGGTTAATCAATGTTAAGCATCTGACAAGTGCTACCTGAAAATTGAATATCACTTGAAATTGAGTGACTCCGAATATTTGACAATCAAAATGACTTATCAAAGGGAATTTTCAGGTTATATTCTTACCACAGAGCCTTCTATCGAAGTGCTGCAATTCGAGAGGAAGTCAGCGTCGCGACTTTCTTGTTTAACGACACCACCGACTGCTATCATGCTCACTTCCAAAATCGCGGAATCTTCGATGAGCCTTTCTCCGGAATTTTTCGCATCATTTTCCGACGACATCATCTTTAAATGATCATAAACGATGAAGCAACAGAACCTCGATGATACTGCGTCACGAAGTCACAATGCGCAGCATTACGGAAACGAACATGATATGGTATGTATAGGTGCACGCATCGATCATATTTCAGGAAAACAATTAGGAAAACTTCGGTCGTTTTAGGTCAATAGGAGTCTTTTTACTAGTTCAAGACACAATTAATCGGTTAGACACGATGACACGATTATAACTGTAACATAATTTATTTGCCGTTCTTTCATCCAAGGAATAGCGCATGTTCTCGTTCCCCTCGCAATTGAACGGCAATTATTTGATTTTCAATCGTTACGAACTCGTTGTTGGAAAAATGATTCACAACATTCAAATTAAAAGGCTAATATTCTGTGCCCGTGGAAACCGTATTTCTGGGATACATTCGATGCATTCAACGTACTTTTTTTCCCCCGCGATTAAGAATTCGAACAGTTCGCTCGTTTCAATAATGGACTAGACAGAAAATTATGAATACGATTCCATTTTTTCCGAGAGATATTCTATACGGATGACGGAAGAATCCACTTTACCAATTATTTATTACTGGTCGCAAAATCCAGCAGCGAGTAAGTGTTGATTATTTTCTTAAATATCGATTTCGATTTTTGAAACTTCTTTCAATCTCTGGGTCCACGAAATTATACATCATATTTAAATGTTTGTTTCCCGACGCATGAAAAGATTGGTGTATTTATTGTATTCGGTGTATTGGTAAACAATTGTCGATTGTATACAATCCAGAATAATTCAGAAACTTCATTTAAGTACATCTCGATAATTACGTATAAATAGCGCGCTGAACGAAAGCGCGATTTCGAACGAACAAAACGAATATTTGAATCGATTATGAAATACATATTTTCGTATCTTGTACGCTTTAATTTGGCGAAAATAGAGAATCGATAGAAAATAAAATTATTATGTTTGCCAATCGCGTCATAATGCGGTTGACTGATAGGCGCGAATTTTTAGCAAGTATTATAATGCCTAAATTTATAACACTTACTGCTTTCTCGATGGCAAGAGTGCTATAATCAGAAATGATGTTACATCTCTGCCTAACTTGCAATTCTGATTACAACGATTTAATCGAGCGTGTCTCGCTGATCGTCAAAGTAGGAATAGGGGCAGGGGCACGCGCGGCGTTAGTCAGTGCCGTATATATACAAAATCCCGTGAAAAAATCATAAACAGATCATTGTAGTTGAATTTCCTTTCAATTCTACCCTAACAATATCAAACAGATTTAAATTGAATTGTATTTCAATACGATTCCATTTCAGTCGTAATTACTATAGAATTTAGTTTTTTTCCAATTATGTACAGATTTGCGCGAAATTCATTTGTGCATTAAGGTTATTTACAATTACATTATTTCGTTTGTACACCTTGTATATCGGGGACATTGGACCATTAATAGCAAGTAACATGTACAGTAGTAGTATATATGGATGTATGTACCCTGTACGTATAAAACATGATAATATGTATATATTGTAATACCGGAAGGAATATTTGCAAATAAGTAACATGTTACGTAATTATATGTGTACAAGGTGTTTAGAAAATTCTATAACTTATATCGTTTGAACTAATATACTGTCAACACAATACATATACATATGTACGTATATACGTACAAAAAGATATGAGAATATTTTGTTTGGTTAATTCGTTTTCGAAAAGTTATTTACGACTTCATTCGTAACAATGACACTTTCAAAATGAATTTCTGTGATCGTATAATTAGTAAGAGTATGCAATTGTCCAAATTGTATTTCTCCTTCTACAAGCCAGAGTTCTATGTTACTTGTTTTCATTTCGGAAACGTCAACGAACAAAAATGTAAGTAACAATTTAAAAAATGAATTCCATTTCATACATGCATTGAATATGTGTGTGCGCGTGCTTGTGTATCTGAGAAAGAGAGAGAGAGAGAGAGAGAGAGAGAGAGAGAGAGAGAGAAAGATTCATGGATCACCCGGTATAAAAATCTTNGAAACCGTATTTCTGGGATACATTCGATGCATTCAACGTACTTTTTTTCCCCCGCGATTAAGAATTCGAACAGTTCGCTCGTTTCAATAATGGACTAGACAGAAAATTATGAATACGATTCCATTTTTTCCGAGAGATATTCTATACGGATGACGGAAGAATCCACTTTACCAATTATTTATTACTGGTCGCAAAATCCAGCAGCGAGTAAGTGTTGATTATTTTCTTAAATATCGATTTCGATTTTTGAAACTTCTTTCAATCTCTGGGTCCACGAAATTATACATCATATTTAAATGTTTGTTTCCCGACGCATGAAAAGATTGGTGTATTTATTGTATTCGGTGTATTGGTAAACAATTGTCGATTGTATACAATCCAGAATAATTCAGAAACTTCATTTAAGTACATCTCGATAATTACGTATAAATAGCGCGCTGAACGAAAGCGCGATTTCGAACGAACAAAACGAATATTTGAATCGATTATGAAATACATATTTTCGTATCTTGTACGCTTTAATTTGGCGAAAATAGAGAATCGATAGAAAATAAAATTATTATGTTTGCCAATCGCGTCATAATGCGGTTGACTGATAGGCGCGAATTTTTAGCAAGTATTATAATGCCTAAATTTATAACACTTACTGCTTTCTCGATGGCAAGAGTGCTATAATCAGAAATGATGTTACATCTCTGCCTAACTTGCAATTCTGATTACAACGATTTAATCGAGCGTGTCTCGCTGATCGTCAAAGTAGGAATAGGGGCAGGGGCACGCGCGGCGTTAGTCAGTGCCGTATATATACAAAATCCCGTGAAAAAATCATAAACAGATCATTGTAGTTGAATTTCCTTTCAATTCTACCCTAACAATATCAAACAGATTTAAATTGAATTGTATTTCAATACGATTCCATTTCAGTCGTAATTACTATAGAATTTAGTTTTTTTCCAATTATGTACAGATTTGCGCGAAATTCATTTGTGCATTAAGGTTATTTACAATTACATTATTTCGTTTGTACACCTTGTATATCGGGGACATTGGACCATTAATAGCAAGTAACATGTACAGTAGTAGTATATATGGATGTATGTACCCTGTACGTATAAAACATGATAATATGTATATATTGTAATACCGGAAGGAATATTTGCAAATAAGTAACATGTTACGTAATTATATGTGTACAAGGTGTTTAGAAAATTCTATAACTTATATCGTTTGAACTAATATACTGTCAACACAATACATATACATATGTACGTATATACGTACAAAAAGATATGAGAATATTTTGTTTGGTTAATTCGTTTTCGAAAAGTTATTTACGACTTCATTCGTAACAATGACACTTTCAAAATGAATTTCTGTGATCGTATAATTAGTAAGAGTATGCAATTGTCCAAATTGTATTTCTCCTTCTACAAGCCAGAGTTCTATGTTACTTGTTTTCATTTCGGAAACGTCAACGAACAAAAATGTAAGTAACAATTTAAAAAATGAATTCCATTTCATACATGCATTGAATATGTGTGTGCGCGTGCTTGTGTATCTGAGAAAGAGAGAGAGAGAGAGAGAGAGAGAGAGAGAGAGAGAGAGAAAGATTCATGGATCACCCGGTATAAAAATCTTGAAGGCGGAGAAAATTCAATACATATCTCCCGCGTTTCGAGGGGCTCTATTATGTGCTTGACACGGTCCTGGTTGTGACGTGGGCAGTGATGCCGTAGTCAAGGAGACCGCAGCAGCAGACAACCAACACTCCGACTAGCCGTCGACAACAAAATATACAGGTTCGTCGGAGTGTACTGCTCCGATTTTTCGGTTGCACGGTGGCTTGGCCGTCCGCGTGGTTTCCTGGGTGACACGGGTACCGGCACAGGCACGGCTGTTCCTTGAACGGGAAAAGCCCGATCGGGATACAAGGGGGGAAACGTTCGGCCGCGCAAGTGCGCCCGGGCGTCGTGTTCGGTGTACACGCCATTCATGAATACAGGTGAGTAGTAAGAGACGTATGTAAACCGTGCTCCGTTACGATCGCAATTATCATTTTTCTCCTACGACAGTTTTCTGCTATAGTATTCTTGCATGCACACGTCCGAAGATATATCATGCGCAAATTAAAACTTCGACGTTGGAACACGTCCTCGACATTCCCATATTTTGTCATTGAAGTATGTTGTCAGTGACAACAGTTGTAGACAAATTGTTCATTACTCTCTTTTATTTCTTAATTCAATGGTCCCTATCGTCATCATTTGTTTGTTAATTTATCCTGTATATGTAGTTTCAATTGTTCTGATAAATATTCATCTGTGAAGCTATCACTGTAATATAAAACAGTTTATGTATATAGAACATTTCATGTCGAGCATTCTATCTCGAGTGTCTGATTCCCTTAGAAATCCTATGCTATTCTCTATTCGAACAGATCTTCTGAACATCTTTGTAACGAGAAATAATCAATTCTTTTTACAATGCCTCCCCGACTAGGTATAGGAAACCATTGCAAACTCTTCATTCTAAACTCCCCTGTCGTATCACGCTTTAGTGATTTTATTGTGATCCCCCTTATCCATGGAGTGTCTAATATATTTGGTAGCTTTTAATTAAAATCAGCTTATTAATTACATCAATGAATTTCTTGAGTCATAAGAAAAGAAACACCCCTGGCACTCGACTATTCATAAAATCTTTAGTCCACTTTTCCATGTACAAATTGCATGATTTTACACAAAGTATTAACTCCAGAGAGATTAAGGACAAAAAATATGGTAAAAGAACAGAGCAAATGCAATATAGGATAATAGATAAGGTGTGTAGAACAGTCCCAAGCATCAGCCATGCGTAACAGAGGCCAGGTGCTCCTACACACACATACACACACGAACACACAGGATGTTTTCCACTGTAATTTTCTTTTGTGCCAAATGATGCAGTCCTTTCTGGTAAGAACTAAGCTATATATTCTGCTACTTTTATTATTTATGTAAAAAAAAAAATTTATTTGCATAAAGTTCCTAAGCCTTTTATAAAATACCGAAATTTAATCTTTCTTGGGAATTTAAGTTTGTGCTAATTTGAAAATGTAGTACTATCGAGGGGGAAGAGGCTTAATGTTCTCTAATTGCATCTATAATCTGACCTTTTCTACCGATACCTTGAACTCCCCTAAAAAGGAGACCCCATACGTCCAGTCGTGCGTTTTAGCGACTCACCCTTCTCCCTTTTATTTTCTTCCCTTTGAAATACATTATGTTTGGTACCTGCCACCCTACAGGTACAGGATGCACTAATACAGATCTCGATATATTATATGTTCCCAATTACAATGCCGTGTTTCATTTCTATTGGAAGCTTTCCGGGGCTTCCCTTTGATCTGTAGATTATCAAATGCTGTGCCCACCTGCAATAAATTACGTGGCCGATCTTTTTTTTTTATGTAGGTTAGGGTGCCCTTTAAATACTATCGCGGTACATCGAACGTCCAATTCGGGCGTCGTCGATTCTCTACTTTATTTACTCTATCTGCAATATATGCATGTATATCATTACCCATTCGATTGTAATGATAATATGGATAAATTCAGGACATATTTATCACCGTTCTCTTTACATTCTTTTATTTCCTACTTGTAGAATGTGTAACACAAATGTACATTCTACACATTATCATATCCCCACAGTAAACAATCCATTTTTATATCTCAGAAAATAGAACCTTTATATTTATAAGATGTTTTTTAATGTTCCGTTATTTTATATTTTATGAATTACTATTTTATCTCTGTAGTTTAGTCATTAGACAATTTACTTTGACAACCGTATCTTCGAAGGTGATTAAGCTTACAAGAGGATATTAGAGCGGTTCTTTGTGCATCGAGTCTGTAGGAAGATATTATTGATATTTGCTACATTTGTGTGGGTTGTATGTCTACGTTGCAGACCCTTCCCTCCAGAAACGGACAGGTAGCAGTGGTAGTGAGATCGTGGGAGCAGAGAGAGGTGAAGGAGTGATTGCCATGACTACGACAGGAGCCCAGTATGCCCTCGCAGCATCCACCAGAGCTAATAATAGTGGGGGTAACTCTGCAACAGTGGGGGTGGAACCTAAGCCAAGCGTCGTTGTCGTGACTACTTCCAGTTCGAGTGGCAGTGGTAGTGCAGCACAGAGTCAGTCGACAAGGGGTCAGCAACTTATCACTGTTGTTACTAGCCCTGATCCTTCCAGTCCGAACAATCTGCAACCTATTCAGGTACATTGCATTACATTCCACTAAAGTGCAATATTATATATATTTTCGAACTTATAATACTTTGTGCATGTTAATATTACAATTTTGGAGAAAATGAAGTTTCTCCATTAATTATATACAGCACATGAACTTATGTTTCTCATCAAACTTTTATATTATTATATAGAACATTACTGTGTTGATCCTAAGGACATGCCTACTATAAACAATAATTTAGTTATTGGTTCAGGATCCGCTTGAAACAGCTGCAGATTCTTCCAATGGCTCAACAGGTACCCCAGCACATGTTACAGCGCAAGTTGTAGTGAACACAACCCATTCGGGACAACACACTCTTGTTGATTCCGACGCTGCATCCACGTCGGCGGGTACGATCGTCAGCAGCTCTCCACACTTCATTACCGTTACAGGTAAGCTTTGGTTAAAAGAGCTTTATATGATTCTCATTTCATCTATGCCGGATGCAAAATTATTTTCTATGTCGGTGCGAGTATCCTATCGAATTTGAAAGATTAGTGTAAATAGATTCGTGGAAAATATTGCAATTATAAGTCGTTGATAGACTTCTTCTAAGTCATTTATGTTAAGGGTGAGTATCAGAATCAGTTTGAAAAATTATAGTGTTTGAGTAGAGATTTGGCCCTTTCCATGCTGCTGAAAAACATGCACCTCTGTTCTTCTACTCTGACTACACTAGGCACCAGTGATTCACCATCCTACGCATCCCTCACAACGGCAGTAGGTGAGGGCAGAATATAATCAGCATGTATCATCCATTTTTAATAATTCAGCATATCTATAGAACTACAGTTTTTTCTGTTGGTGAACACTTGATTTTGCATGGAAAGAAAGATCAAATATAATTACACGCGAATACCAGAATTCCTATTAAGAGCAGAAGAGTCTTTCCTTCTTTAGTAACTTTTCTGGTACGGCATAGTCTTGTACTTAAATGTTGTACGCATTTTGTCAAGCTTTATTTAGACCCAAAGATCATTTACTATGGGTATGTTAAAGCATATTGCACCTGTTTTAGTATCGGGTGAACCAGAGGCAGTGGGGTCAGAGTCAGTATCTCATCCTACCTATGTTCAATACGTTGAGGGTGATGGTTCTACGTATATACCAACAAATGGTCAGATGTAAGTGGAAAAGTATTGTACATTTAAAATCATTGACTTCTTCAACTTGTGAATATTTGTAGGACATATCCTGTATACGCTGTCGGGGAAGCAGGAGCAATGTACACTCCTGCTTCGAGCCAATACTATACACCAGCCTCCACACCGGTGACATATGCACAGGTATAGTACGAAAATTTATGATAACATTTCTGGATTTCTAATCAACAATAATATTTTATAAATTTAGGTCACTGGACAAGGTTCGAATTCGACAGCTGGGCAATTATTATCACAAGGCAATGGAACGTACTTGATCCAACAAAGCGTCGTAGATGGTGATCCAACCGCGCACGCGTTAATATCTGCAGCTGCTGCACGTGCCAGTCCACAGACGGAAAATGCGGTAAGATGGCAATGCATGATCCTCAAATTTTTACTCTCAACTATTGCTTTCATTCGATTGAGTTTTTGCGAGTACATGTTTCAAGATCGCAGGCATGGGAGTCCTGCATGATTATAAAGGAATGGAAAGGGTACAGTGTTTAATTTAATACTAAAGTTTTTGTTCGAGACACGAATAATGATATCTTAAAGTTATTCCTGGTAGAAGTATATCGTATCCTTGGCGTATGAAAATTTCTAATGCGAAAAAGAGTGCATCTAATTGGGGTTTAATGAGCTATTGGTGTCTTGGGTTGTTCGATAGGAAACTGTGGTTAGCGGGGGTGGAGGGGCATACTTGATCAGCGGTAATTCAGCAGGAGGTACTACAGTCACCGTGGAAGATGCTGCAACGGCTGCAGCAAACATGACGCATGCTACTAGAGTTTCTCAAGCAACAGTAAGCTAATACATGATCATCTTTATTTACAGGCTTTACCAAATACTAATTCGTTAGAGCATGCCCGTCAGTAATACCTACATTAACAACCAGAATTAAAGGATTACTGTCAACAATGTTTTTGAAATTGATATGGATTGTATAGCTTAATTTTAATCGTTAACGCGTATTTCCTTAGAAATTTCATCCACTCCCATAATAACACAGAGAACATGTTTTGTAATATAAATACGTAAATAACAGTAATTATGAATGTTGCAAGTACATAGTTTGTAGCATTGTATCAAATACTCTTTTTACATTGTATTACATCATAGATAGAAAGAAAGTCCATCTACGTCCGGAAATCATATGGATTTTCATCTAATTAGGTTCACTGGCTGCTTGAAAATTATGAAACAGCAGATGGTGTCTCTCTTCCAAGATCCACGCTTTATAATCATTACCTACGCCATTGTTCTGAAAATAAATTGGATCCTGTAAACGCAGCAAGCTTTGGAAAATTAATTCGTTCTGTCTTTTTGGGCCTGAGGACCAGACGATTGGGCACCAGGTAAAAAATTGTCTCCTAGAATGTTTAAATTTTCAACTAAAATTTCAAATTCAATTTGCGATTTTCTTCTTTTACAGAGGAAATTCAAAGTACCATTACTATGGGATTCGTGTGAAGCCTAATTCTCCTTTGGTAATGTTGAACGAAGATGGAACACCGCGCCAACAACAAAGTGCAAACTCTCAAACAAAACGATTTAAATTTGTAAATCAAAAGCAGGATACCACGTACGAGAATAACACACATTCGAACACGAATATTTCTTCGAACACCTCGCCGCCGCAGTTCCATCAGTACCTTGGCGAAGCGAGTGGCGCGATTCCAGAGTTTCCCGAAATAATAGTTAGCCATGGCTCCTCTCTTCCTGAGGATTGCACCTTAGAGGACATCGACACCTTCCGAAGTATATACAGGGAACATTGTGAAGCATTTCTGGATGCTGTTCTCAATTTTGAATTTGCCACTGTGGAGAGTCTTTGGAGAGAATTTTGGCGTAGTCAGGACAATAATAACGGGGATGAATGCGAGGAAGAGAAATATTTATCAAAGTAAGATGACTCGTGCGTGAATACTTGAAACTTTCTATTGTCTAAACTAACATCATTCTAATCGAGTCTGTTGTCTACGTAGAACGAAACTGTACCAGATATGTAAGTGTTCGGAAGTTCAAGACTTCATTCGAAAAGTTGACTACACGTTTTATCAGAACTTGGTTGAAGTGTTAATGCCTAACGTATTGCGACCTATACCGAGTAAGTTATTCCGATTATGATTTTTTGTACAGGGATCCTAACACGTTCTCACAGTAATTAATATTCTCCAGGCTCGCTAACACAATCCATTCGAAACTTTGCAAAGGGGCTAGAGTCATGGTTAACATCAGCAATGGCCGATTGTCCAGAAGAAATGACTCAGATAAAGGTACCAATTGCACCACGCGCGCGCGCGATAGAGTAAATCCCGTTTCGACAATATAAATTTTAATATGAGCAAATTTGATTCCAGTTGACAGCTGTATCTGCATTTGCTCAGACACTAAGGCGTTACACGTCTTTGAACCATCTTGCTCAAGCAGCACGTGCAGTGCTTCAAAATTCAAGCCAAATCAATCAGATGTTGGCGGATTTGAATCGCGTTGATTTTCATAATGTACAAGAACAGGTATTTGTGCACTAATTATACGTGTATGTATGTGTGTAGAAAATGCACGAATAAATCTGTTTCAGGCCTCCTGGGTTTGTCAATGCGATTATCGGATGGTGCAGCAATTAGAGGCTGATTTCAAAGTGACGTTACAACAACAAAACTCGTTAGAAGACTGGGCGATTTGGTTGAAGAGCGTCGTTACGCAGGTTCTTAAGCCATTCGAGGAGAAACCTACGTTTGCGAAAGCTGCACGTCAATTTTTGCTCAAATGGTCTTTCTACAGGTTAGTTACTAAATCTATAGCAATGCTAACACGATATGGGCTAGGTTAAATTTATCTCTACATATTGGCTATTACTCAATAGTTCCATGGTGATCCGTGATCTCACTTTAAGAAGCGCTGCTAGTTTTGGGTCTTTCCACCTGATACGATTACTATACGACGAGTACATGTTCTATTTGATTGAACATCAAGTGGCAATTGCTACAGGGACAACTCCAATAGCTGTAATGGGGGATGTATGTATTCATGTTTAAGTCCCTCAAACAACAAATCTATATTTTGTTTTTCACAATTATGTTTCCTTTTAGAAGAGTCAAAATTGTTCTTTGGTCAGTGCATTTGGTGTGACTTCCAACGGAGGTTAGAGACATTTGTTTGTTATCTTATTACCTTATTGTATCAAACGCATGAAAAAAGAGAGTTGTCTTGAAAAAAGTTATTTCTTCTTTTTCAGATACATTGAACACAAACCAACCAAAGCGGATGAAACTAAGCTAACTGCGTGCCTACATGCCTTAGTTTGCAAGTAAGCCAGTAAGCCAGTAGCACTTGAAAATGAAATGTTAGCACAAGAGCATGCAGGCCTACCGATACACGCTAGTCCTATAAATTATAATTTTGTATAAGACGAGATCTTGTCGAACAATGACTTAACAAAGAAGATTTTTGCATAATGCCTAGGATATATAATAAAATCTAGGTAAGTTTGTGTGATATAACATGTACGAATATGTACCGCAGTCTTGTTAAGTACAAGCAAGTATATGATTCGAGCGTAAGGTATCGCTGGCACGATGTTTAGTATGTTAATGTATCTTCTAGTCGAGACATTTTTTAAAAATATATGGGACCATGAATATGTCATGTCCTTATAGCATACAATATCAAAAGCTTACTCGATTTAGTTTTTTTTTTATTTCTGTAACGTTCCGCGGTTACATACATAATTTAGGTATTTATTTATTTATTTATTTATTTATTTATTTATCTATTTATTTATTTATTTATCTACATTAGTAAATCAAATTTGACAACTCATTTCATTGTTTAATGTATTGTTCACCATTGAAATGTTTTATTCCGGTAATCTTAACGCGAGAGAGAAAACAAAGTCGAGTAGGCTTGAAATAGTCAACATCAGTTTATGCAAGGAAAAAAAAAAGATGCATTCATATCGACGGATTCTATTTTGCACAAATATTTGAGTAACGTTTAATGAAATCCGCCCTGCCGACGGTATTGTCAAATAATAAAAGAATATTCCTACTGGAGCAAATGCGAATTAGAATTACTATAATTATTATATACTTGTACGAGTTTTAGATATTTCTGACATTCATATTTTTTAACAAGACTTATTGATTATACATCGAGCTACATAAAGAGAAAAAAGAAAAGAAAACAATTCTGTTGTAAGCCGTCTGTGTTACACTCCATATATATTCTTTCAGTATTTTTAAACGAATAGTACAAAACAGCACTGGAAAAGTATGGGTGTAACGATATATAAGTGTAATCGTTTTAATTTACTGATAGAATATACGCTATGGTTCTTGCATCGTAAAATGTACATATATAAAATAACGTGGCAGATTAACGAAAGTGCACAGTTGTTGAAATTTAATGAAAGAGAGAAGAAACAAAAAGAAACTGCAAATTGCAACGATAGAAGGGAGGGTGTTTTCAAACATGCTTCGCATTTAAACAATTTTCATTAATACATTTACAGTAAAAGGGGTCTGTGTCAATATATATTTTATATTTGTAGATTCTCGAGTAATTCTCTTCGATGTAATAAAGTCCTAGGTCTAAAGGTGCATTGTGAACTTAAACGTTATATTCTTTTTTTGTTATGTGTACGTAATAATTTATTTTCCAATTCAATGTAATTGTAATCTTATAAATTTGTTTGGCTTGAATGCAAACAAATTTTTCGAAGCAATTGTTGATATTTATTTATGATATCAGATCAACAGATTTCAATCTGCTAATTTAGATTTATCGCAAGAGAATACAATTAGTTGTGTATCGCAGGTTCATTAAAACTTTGTAAATATTAGTTTCTGTTCTGCCAAGAGCTTGTTCAATCTTCAAATCTTTTATATTTTCTATATTTATGTTTTTACATACTTGTGTATGTTATATAATTTCATGAAAATGTATTTATATGCTCTCTCTCTCTCTCTCTCTCTCTCTCTCTCTCTCTCTCTCTCTCTCTCTCCCTC